TTCACGGGCGAGGACTGTGGAGGTGAGAGACCAACCCAACCCAACCCCACGCCACGCCACGCCACGCCAGATTATTAATTTGTTTTTTTATGTGGCTTTTGCAGTTTGAAATTAACGAAGCAGCATCCTTCAGTCAGGGAAACCCCTCCTTCTTGAAGGAGTTCTCTACGGTACCAAAAATAGAAATAAAATTTTTTTGGTAACGTCGCGTAACGTTATTTATTATTTTTTTCAGTATTTTTATTATTATTGTGAATATTTTTATTACTGTTGTAATATAAAAAATAATAATAAAAATAATTATTACAATAGTGGTGAAAACACTCATAAAAATAGTAAAAATACATAAAAAATTGGTAAATTACCTATAAAAGTTATAATTGTGTTTGTATTGAAAAAATTTGGTAAAAATAATTAGGAAAAATTTCATCTATACCCCCTCTAAATAGGTCTATCTTCAAAGACACTCCCTGCCTTTTCTGAAATTTTACGGCACTTCCTTCTAGTTTATATGTCATTTTCACCTAGACCCCCTACCGTAACCAACCGTTACTGACCATTAGAAAAGTGTTGATATTATATCAAAATTTTTATTAAATGCCAATTTTATTCTTCTTATTTCCCATGACACCCTTGTTTCACTCTCTCTTTCTCTCATGCCTCAACAATCCAATCAGCTAACTTAAAAAACGTGGCAATGAACCCAAGCCACTTGTCATAGAATGAATCGGTGAAGAATAATGTAAAAAATTCATATAAAAAAATAAAAAAATCTAGTGCTATGAATCGATGACACCGGGAAAAAAAAACTGGTGATACTGTACACTTAAACATAATACAAGAAAAAAATTCAAAATAATTTTTTTAAAAAAAAATTGATGACATCGTAAGCTTAAACATAATATAAGGAAAAAATTAAAAAAAAAAATCAGTAACACTGTACGTTTAAACATAATATAAGAAAAAAATTTAAAAAAAATCAGTGACGCTTAAACATAATACATGAAAAAAATTCAAAATAATTTAAAAATTTTTTTTTAAAAAAAAAAGTACGCTTAAATATAATACAAGAAAAAAATTCAAAATATTTTTTTTCAAAAAAAATTAAAAAAGAAAAAAACTGGTGACACTATGCATAATCATAATATAAGAAAAAAAATTCAAAATAATTTTTTTTTAAAAAATTTTTTTTAAAAAAAACCAATGACATTTTATGCTTAAACATAATATAAGGAAAAAAATTTAAAATAATTTTTTTTTAAAATTTTTAAAAAAAAACCGGTGACATAGTACACTTAAATATAATACAAGAAAAAATTCAAAATAAATTTTTTATAAGTAAACTTTACAAAAAGAGAGTATATGTGTCATTTTCCTTGCTTGTACCCATTAGTGGATTTATACCAACAAATAATACCAACTGGTAGGTAATATTCATTAAAATTATGTACAAAGGATAGATGTTGTTGTACAAATCGGGTTAATATTGTAACCCAAAAAATAATATTGTATATAAAATGCCAACCAAACAAGATTATAAGTGGGTAATAACTATTTATATAACTATTCACTCCATGCACAGTAATGACCACACAAGGTAATACCTATTTATATATAGTTTAAAAAAAATAATTGGTGAATATGTAAATTTTAATAAAATTCATGGTAAAAAAACTGTTTTCGTCACGTCTGTTAGCCAACCAACACTGAGAGGAGAGGTCAGTAAAATTTCAGAAAAGGTAGGTGATGTCGTTGAAGATAGACCTATTTAGAAGGGGTGTAGATAAAATTTTTCAAAATAATTATTACAGAGGTGGTAAAAATACCCACAAAAGTAATAAAAATATTCACAAAAGTGATAAATTACCTGTAAAAATGATAAATTTTTTTGTTATAAAATAACTTATAAAAATAATAAAAACAGTCTTTAAACTAATAAAATTTAGAGATATGGGAATAAATTATTTTTTTCGGTACTATAGTCAAGCCTCTTTCTTGAAATATCTGGGGAGTATGGGTAATCATTTAGTGGTGGTGTCCATCTATAATAATAATAAAACTGAGACTCAATTATTATAACTGAGACACGTGTTTGAACTGCTTAAGTTCTTCGGTTAGAAAAACACAATAATAATTTAGATAATTTCGAACCAACGATTTATGCTATAATTTAATAATTTGAACTCTTCACTACAATAATTTCTTTAAATTTTAACTTTTAACCTTTTATTCATAATAACTCATTTAAAATTTTTAACTATAATAATTCACTTAAATGTTAAACTACATTAATTCACTTAAATTTTAATTTTTTAATTGCAATAACTCATTTAAGTTTTACTTTTAACCAGAATAACTCAACATATACATTAAAAAAAAAAAGTATGCTTTGCACGGGACACTTAAATGTTTTTATATTGTACATTCATGTTTCACCAAATAACAAAAAAACTTATAAATTTTTTTATTATCTTATTATTTTAATAATCAATGATTAGAAGAATCATTTTTGTTTAATGGTTCCGAAAATATTTTATGGATATCATCGTGTTGCTGTTATTCTACAATTGAGTCCAAAACTAGCTGGTAGATGATAAGACTAGCTTAACGGTGGTCAAAATTTCACACGTTATTTGATGAGGATACGATTGGATACTAACCACGTGATTGAATATGGTGGGCCCACAAGCTGGAAAGACCAAATTAATCCCAACTTGTGTCCATGGAAAGCAGAGAGGAAAAGACACAAGTCCTAATTAAAGTCCAGAGAGCAGAGCTCTGACAACTGGCGGGGCGGCTGTGATTCATATGGTGGCACGTATGTGCATGTGGGTGGTGGGGCTAGTGGTCATGGGGCTGCGTGACCATCAGACTTCAACTGAACAACGGCGGAAAGCGACGGATCAAGGAGGGTATGGGTGGTGGCTGGCGGGGCCATGTTGGTTCATTGAAGACACTACGGCCTGTGAGGCTTTTCATGTCTTCCAAAAGTCGCATTACATAATCATTGTTCCCATCATCATTATAACTAGAATATAACTAGAATATATTGCTTTCTATCCCTCTCTCTCTTTTTTTTTAAATTAATAAAAAATTCTCAAATAAAATTCGATATATTTAAAAAATTGGTGAAGATAATCATTTTACTAATTGCTCCCATCGAAACCAACCGACAACACTAGCTCAGCCTCTAAACACTAGCTCAACCACTGAAACTTCTTGTCTAGGGGGAATTTGTGTGGGGGGGGGGGGGGGGGGGGGAGAACTGCCAATTTTGTTGTTTGGAGGCATAATTACATTTGTTTAGGTGAGTAAATTCAATTATTTTTGTGTTTTACAAACAACAAGGTGGGCAGAAAAATTCAAAAGAGGATTGCGAATAGAATCCCGCAATTTTATTTTGACAATTAACAACAGAAAAAGATGACAAATAACACTGCTTAATCTTATCTTCTTTATTATCAATTAATTTGATATTTCCTCGGAGTATTTTTCTTAGTCACACTAAATTCGACGGTAGCTTGAGCGATTGCTCTATTCTAGGATTGTTACTTACCACCATGAACGTCGGCTAGAAATGGATTCCAATTCCAGTCCTCATTTCCGGAGGACAGAAAGTCAAATACAGCCTGAAAACTTAATTGGTAGTTTGGCTTTTCAAGAAAACTTGGAAGGTCTATATCAGCCTCAGTTCACATATTTTGCTTAAATTTTCGACTTATTTATCCTATTAGTCGATTATAAACAAGTTCAATTCACACATAATAATTCGTTTAATAGTTTTATATAACGGTTTCTTAAAAGAGATATATGTGAATAATTTGTTCTGCGACAAAGACATCGCCTAGTCACAACATAGATGACACTTTCGTAATAAGAGCAAGAATCATATATAGATGAAAACAACATAAGAAGATGCTTGCCGGTGAATCTGATGGGGTGTGTAACCAAAAGGATTAAAAAAAAAAAGGGTTGTAAAACATAACCCTACCCCACTTTGTGGTCACGAAGCAATTCGCTAATAAAATAGTAACAAAGTCAATTTTGCCGTCTCAATCTTGTATTTTGGCTGAGTACCCTGAATAATAGTTATTATCAGACTATGACATAAGCCTCCCTTTCCTTTTTAATTGTTGCCGTGGTGTTGGGTGCTGTTGTCTTCTTCAGTATTATACTACTTTCTAAAAAGTTTGTACAACTTGCCATACCCTCATCACTCATATATCTATATATATATATAGATATAGATAGATAGATAAGTGTGTGTTTGTGTTTTTTTTCTCTCTAATTTTTTGACCAAGGAAGAATATCATATGTTTGGCCAGAAAAGAGAAGAAAGAGGAGAGCTCTAACCAGGGTTTTTCATTGGTAAGGACGTCCCTTGCCAATTGGAACATGGACATAAAGAAGGACGACATTTATGTAATTTATAAAAAAAATATTACATAACTAAAATAAAATCTAAAAATAAAACTCAAATACATGTCATTCATTTGATGAGTGTCGGATGAATAAATCTCACTAAAAAAATTAACGAAACCCACTCATCATAAGGAATGATTTGCATTTGAATTGTAATTTTTTGAGTTTTGTAATATTGTTCAATTTATAATTAGTTGATGATACCTCGACTGGCATAGAGTGATGGAAAGATCACTGTTCCTCTATAGTATTATATAGCAGAGAATCCGAACAGTTTTTGTCTGAATCAAAAAAGCACATTGCAATGAATAATTATGACAAGTTCGTCTTTATGCTCCATGTTGAACAACTTTAAATGCTACTAGTCTATTTGCAACTTATTCCTCTTTCCTCATCTATTTTCACTGAGCATTTTGTGCACCTAATTATACCAGAACAAACAAATTGAACATCAAGATTCTGCTACTAGTCTATTTGCAACTTATTCCTCTTTCCTCATCTATTTTCACTGAGCATTTTGTGCACCTAATTATACCAGAACAAACAAATTGAACATCAAGATTCAGCAGTCTAAGGACACTGCTACATGTATTCACAGCACCCTTTGTACCACAACAAAGAAAGAAATTGGAAGTCAAGATTCTGCAGTTGTGAGGCATGGAAGGATGTATTTACGGCAGCCTTCAAAACTGGAGACAGCAAGACTAATAATGTACAGTTTTAGATTAAGCTTTACAAGTTAAAACAAAATGTAGAATTAAGGCCTCAACCAAGATCAACAAGGGGTTGAACAGATGTTTTGCAATATTCTAAAGCTTATAATGACCTTATTAAACCCAAGTTGTACAGGACTTTCTCGGACCTTGATCTGAAGAGATTACCCAGAGAGAACTTCCCTGTCTGCAGGGGTGGTGAATTTAAGTAGTCATCATCTTTTACATGAAGTATTGTCAGGCCTATTTCTTTTCGGACTGCCTCAATAGTTTCAGTTTTAACTGGACAACCGGATGCATCAGTCACATAAAAAACATTTGCAGCTTGAGAGCCCCTGGTCGAGACCTCAGCCCGGGTGACTGAAAGACCATTCTCTCTAAATATGCGAGTTACATCGGATAGAAGACCGACCCTATCTTCACCGCACAATTCTAGTCTTAGGCCCTGTAGTTTAAACATGCAAGGACATAACCATGTGAATCAGAGTTTGAAGGGAAGTGGAAAGTTGAATGCAAATCAAGCTTCACTAAAGTCAGTACCTCAGAAGTTCGCCTCTTGATAGCCGCTTCCAAGCAATGAATCACACGTTGCCTCTCTGCTTCAGAACTAATTGGGCCTCCGTCCATATGCCTGATGTAGTACTCCTATTGCGAACAAATAGTGAAACAGACAATACAATGAGATTCGATTCAATGAATTTCCAATTCATTTGTCCTCCTTGATAAGACACATTCTCAACCAACAGAAAAAAATCAAAGTGGTCCATACTTGGTGACATATTTTGGAAGGATTATGGTACAAGAATACTTTTATAATCAGTATCAGATTCTCAAGAAGTTGGAGAACGTACTAGTACTACATTAAAAGACAAGGTCAACCACTCAAATTGATAAACACAGACAATAATCAGTGATATATGAGCAAAGTGACATACGCAAAGATATAATCGGTACAATGAACGATGCAAAATAATCGGTAAAAGATAAACTAAACAACTTTGAGGGCATGCATTCAAGACCACCTGATGAGCCTCTGGTCCTTCAGCAATAATGGTTCCATGGAATACTACATACTGCATATCTGTCAGTGTGCATACTGTATCAAAGAGCAGCTTAGGCCGGTCTGGACACCTCAAATTCACAAGAGTGTACCCTTTATCAGCACAATTTTCCACAGTCACAAGGGGGTTGCTCCGGCCACTGGTGGACACACAACCCATACCATCTGTATCATAGTCACGATCAGCGTACATCATTTGATGCAACCTCCTTTCAGTGTGAGTGGAACCAACAGAAACAGCAGTGTTGGGGCTCCGCTTATCTCTATCCCCTTTCAGAACGTACAGAAGAAGCTGCTTGATCTTAGCAAGTCTATCAGGATCATTTATTGCCAACCCATTTGTTTCATCAGTAATGTATACAACTGAGGCCATTCTTGAATTGTGTGTCCATACTTCTGCAGCCACCACATTACATTTCAGGTCAGTAAGAACAGCGAAAACATCCGAAAGCAAGCCTGGTCGGTCTTTTCCGGTCAATTCAATGGTTGTATGTTCCACGGCAGCCTGAACACCCACAGATCTCTTCAAGGACCGGAAACTGCGTCCCTTTGGTCCCAGTGACTGTGACACATAATCAAAGATGTGATGTGACATGAACTCATAATATTGAAACATACATAGAACGAATTAAACAGCAACTGCTTCATTTTCTTAGTCTAATCTCCCATGCCATCAAAACAATTTCTTCGGTATGGAGCTAAGCTTGAAGTTCTTGGGTTCTGTGGAGGAGTAATCTACTCTCACCACATTTGCACACTAAACCAAGTTTGTGATATATGCGGTTGAGATATAGCAACTTTCCTTAATGAGTGAAAAAAAATTGGCCACACTCCAAATCCATATTGGTACTATGAGATATTATCCAAAAATGCCTTACCGAGTTCTGAAACTTGAGTAAATGCTCTTGTACATTTACCAGTTGTATTGAGTGTCATTAGTATCACTAGTGCTTTGTAGGATGATTTTTTAACTACTTTACTAGTCCAAAGCTACAAAACTTAAGATTCAAGAACGTCTATAACTACATAATGTTTTCAAGCATTCAAAGGACTGGGGAGGAAATATTAAGGAGTTTGTCAATCTGAAGTATACTAAAAAACAATTTCCCGGAAAGTACGATTTCAGATGAATACTCATAAACTTTTAAACAAGTAAACAATCTACCTCCTATTCATTATTCTACTAGTAAAAGGTAAACCTGAGATTACTACCTAAAGAGCATTTTCTAACAATCTCTTCGTCAACGTATATGATGCAATTCAATTAACAAGTTTCTCAAACCTACCTGCTGAATGCGTTCAGAAAAGTTATCTTCGGAGACCTTATTTCCATATTGATCGGTAACATGAAATACTGCAAAAACAGAGAAGATAAGGAAAACAAATTCAGCAAGGATGGATTTGAAATTTCCATTAAAGCTAAAGAACAGATTAATGAAGGATCATAGGCTAACCATCCATGAACCATTCCCCATCTGAAGAAATGTAAGCTCGCTTAATTATAAGATTTAAATCAGTCAAAACTTGAACAACCTCTAGCAAACTTCCTCGCTTATTCATACTATCAACCTGCAAAATTCACATCGAAAACAATTTGTAAAGCAATCTTGTTGAAAGCGTCGATTCAAGATGACCCAATTGACCCACAAAAAATTTCAGTACCTTGATCAAAGTGCCCTTCTTGTCTGAAACATTATCAACAGTAACCCTACAAATACCACATCAAGAATGAAATTTAATTACAAGAACAATTGTCCTCTTCAAATAAAAATATTTTTCCGATGCCAAAGCAGCAGACTTGAAGAAGAACGCAATCACCCAGTTTGAGGTAACGACATCTTTGAACAATTCATAGCATAAATGGTCACCTCAAATGAAGACAAACAAGAAAGAAATGGAGTACCTTGGTGGGTTCATTCGAAGTACAAGAGTCTCAAATTCGAAATCAACGTCGACAGATGTAGACCAACTATCCATTTGAGGAAGAATGAAAATTCAGGGGTGGAATTGCTTTTTTTTTTTTTTTTTTTGGGGGGGGGGGGGGGGGAGAGAGAGAGAGAGAAACCAATGAGAAACGCCCTGCTCTGGTATTTCTCTCAATTCTCTGCTCTCCTCTCCAAGTCTCTAGCTGTTTCTAACGTTTGGATTCCAGTAGAGAGAAAGTGTTCGTGATGTGTTGTCAGTTGTGCTATGCTGCTAACCTTAGCAAATGGCAGTGCTTCTATGTGACTTTTGGGTTGTACCAACAGCTTTTGGAGGGACACTCTTAATAGACACATGACTCAAGTTGATGACTCTTATTAGGCCTTTGTAGGGGACCATGGTTCAGCTCATGGTCTATACTTCACCAAAATTAAAAAAAAAAATCCTTTTAGGGTCTCAAAATCTAGTTAGATTTTGCTTAGCTTTTTAGAGACTCATTTAGCTTTAAAGGCACATACCCATTATTATCATGACTAAACACACTTTCTCATGTTTATGATGTTTCCCAAGCTAGCAGGATTGTGCTAAGTGGGAGGATTCCTTTGTCTTACTACTCACTTTGTAAGCTTCTAGCAAGTGTTACCTCCAATTTTGATTTGTATTCCCTAGTTGCCGGGTACAACCCCACCCACATAATACCTTCAACCCAGTCGGTATTGGAATCGTCCTTAGTTCTTCCACTCATTTCGTGGCGCAAAATTTATTATTGACTAACCAATCATTCGGTTATGTCATTTTGGGCATTATTGTAATCAAAGCTATTGCATTGTTTGCCCCAATGATGGCCTTTTTGATCTCATTCGTATTCCGATCGAAGGTTGAAGTTTCATAAAGTGGCCCGACTTTTTTATTTTTCATATTAATAATAAATTTAATTTTTAAATTTTTTTAAATATAAAAATATTAATTAAGTTTTTGTATTCAAGTTTTTGTTACCATATTATAACTTAATGGTAAGAGAGAGAAAGAATAATTGAAAAATTATGATGATAAATTTAAACTTGACTTTTTTGAGAGTTATCACTAAATTTTTTAGTAGCTTTAATTTTATAGTTAGTATTTTTTTATTTAAAAAAATAAATTTAAGGGCCTTTTAATATCAGGGTTGATCTACTTAAGTTGAAATCTTTTGTTTAGACATGGATTTAATTTTTTTGTTTGGATTATTAGTGCACACCTTGAAGTGAGGCCTTATACTTTTTTTTTATTCGACTTATGTTTTTATAAGACCTTTTTGTATGGATTAAATTATTTATGAATTTTATTTTTTTACATGGACTATTTATGATATCTAAAAATTTAGAGCCTTTTTTAAAAATAGAGTTTAAAGTCCAATCTTTTTTGATAACACTGTTGAGCCACCCCTGCTTCAACCCTAGCCAAGGATTCCACCCTAGATACCAAATGTCTCCAAATAAAAACTAAAAAGAAAGTTATTATTTACCAAGTTTAAAACTTGAATTTGATAGACTCCAATATTCTTTCTCTTAAACATATGGATTAAACAATGGGATGTATGTTAATAAAACAAGAAAAATGCTAAATAGAATGTAAAAGCTAATGTTTATCTCTTCATTCAAATACCCTGTAACATTATTGGATGTATTCCTATCTTTGTAACTTATTGATCTTATCTCATTATAAATCACTATTACTATTATATATATATATATATATATATATATATACAAGGACTCTCTCACTAGGAGAGTAATTCCACTTCAGCAACTCTTATATAGACTTAAAATTCTGACTTAAAGACTAAACTTAATCAATCACTATCTTGAAAATGAATATGTAATAGGTCCCAATAAAAATTATGACTCATAGTTAAATTAATAATAAATATAACAACTATATCATCAAGACAAATTTTTAAGTCGATTTTTTAAATCTGCCTAACATTGCTTATAAAAAAAAAAAAAAACCAAGACTCCATATGAGTCATCAACTTCGTATCATTTCCTATTATCATGGAGGTTGCTGAATTTGAACGGTATGTGGTAAATGATGAATGTTTTGTTGAGGTTAATGCGACAAACACTTGAATATGCAGATGCGAAGATGCGTGGTTTTTAAAAAATTTCATTCCATTTTTGCAACTTTTAATATTATATTACGAGATTATGGAGATCCCTCTCATACCCAACTCTTCAATGCGTGGAATCTGTGGGAATGTTTGGGTGGATAGTGGGTGAAATACGATTGCTTGTGTGCAAACAAGGCAAGTGAGGTGGAGGAGTTAAACAATTGCATAAAATGAAATGATTATTCTAATTTATAGAAACCTTTTTGCACCGAGTAATGCTCTATCAATTTAAAAATTAAACTTGATAATCGCAATCATTGAATAGGTAGTGAGTCTCATTAAATATTGAGACCCGTAATAAAATCAATGATTATAATTATTAAGTCTATTTTTTAAATCCATGTAGCATTGTTCACTTGCACCATTAGTCAGCTCTCGGCAATCGATACGTAAATGATAGAGATATGTAAAGGATAGAGTAGGAGCCATATCTTTTTTCGGTTCAAAGATTTAATTGATGGTCTAATCTTAACTAGCCACCATCGTATGTGCATAGTGTGCAGTTGTTAAGTGGTTCTTGTCCATAGAATTAGAATGCCTCAAGCCATATTCGGTGGGAGGCCTTGCGGTTCTTATTGTAATTTTGTTTGTATTTTTTTTTTTTTTTGGACTTGGTTCTCGGATGGATATGTACTAATATGACGATGATGTTTTAGGAGGATTGTCCACACCTGGTTCGTTAGTTCTTTTATTGATGCAGTATGTATAGATAACTCTCATTAATTGGGCAAGGTTGACTTTAGACAACAATGTCAGAAAATATTGTAAGATCTTATTTCAAAAAGTTTTAAGTGATTTGAGGGAAATTGAATGCGTCTTCAACCAAATCGATTTTTAGCCAAAAAAAATGGCCTTTCAAACATTTTTTAAGAACTTTTCTACTTTTATCTCACTATTTGGGATATTTTTGTAATATTGCGTATGTACTTGGCTTTTCTAATAATTTATAACTATTAGAGTTTCTTATTTATATTGCGATGAAAACTAATTTAGTAGCCTTGGTTTATTTTGAATAAAACTTAGAGACTTTTAATTTTAAATTGACTTGGTATTCTTAAGAATCAACAAGGTTCTTGAAGACTATAATTTGATATTATTGCGATAATTAATAAATTATAATTTATGTTGTTTAATTTCGTTTTTTTGTTTACCCTACCCTGAATCACCTACTTTTGTAGACGACTAAGAAGAGAGAGAGCAAAGAACGCTACGAGGATCAAAGTTAGGTTGACACATCACATTATGGAAGAATTATATTCGATTCCTATGATTTGTCACTTAATCACTTAAACCATTAACATTTGAAATATTATACACAAATCCCTAACACTTAGACCCCTACCATCAATATCTGTAAGAATATCTCTTAGTAAATTACACCCATACCCCATAAAGTTTATATGCATATAATATTTAAATCCATGAAGTTTAAAATGTTATTCTTAGATAAAAAATACTCCAATTAAAGATAAAATATCAAATATTTTAAATTTTACAACCAAAATTCATGATCTATTATGTCATTTATTGATATAAAATTAAAATTTAAAATCTAATTTTTTTAAAAAATCATAACTAATATACAATTATACCGTCTATTAGAATAAAACTAAAAAAATAAATAAGGGTCAAACTTTAATAGACACATAACTTATATCTTTAATTATGGTAGTTTGGTTGTTTAATAAATAATATAATTTTATGCTAATTATGATATTTTAAAGACAACATTGAATATTTATTTTTGATTTTATTTTAATAAATGACACAATAGAACATGAATTTTGATTATAAAATTTAAAATATTTGATATTCTATCTTTGATGGATTATTTTTAGTTTAAATATAATATTTTAAATTTGAGAGATCAAAATATTATATGCCTATAAACTTAAGGGGGTTTGAGTATAATTTATTAACAAATATTCTAACTGACATTGACGATAAGGGTCTAAATATTACGTGTGCTCAAATTTCAGAGAGTTTGTGTGTAATATTGAGTTTGTGTGTAATATTTTAAATATAAGAAAATCTCAATGATAAATGACAAACTTCGATACATGACATCTGGACATAATTCTCCCTAACATTATTGTCACACGCCGGAGAGAGATTGTCAGGGCAATGTGTTGGAATTTTTGGTTGTGTCCATAAGCTAACACGTGAATTACTTTTTGCTTTGAAAATGAGTTAATTCTTGCACCTTTACTAATCAGATTCAGGTTGAGTGTGTTATGATGTTGTTTTAGTTGAACAAATTGATACAGTTTTCAAAATTCTGTATTTTTCAAAATGTAGGGCTTAGTAAATACTTTTCTTTGGACCGTCAGACATCATTACGAGGAGGAAGATGATAAGCTTTGAACCAACGACTTTCAAATTTAATAACACGGAATAATGATCATTAGGTCAAGCGCTAACAGCGCCCTTTGTGCTCTTGAATTTAGCTAGGGGGTAGATAATTTAGAGTTCTTCCTTTCCCATCAAAGGTCAAGACATTTTTGTTCTTCGTGTTTATGTTTTCTTTGATTTCCAGTTGTGCTCCATTATATTCGTTTAATGCAGGTCTGACGGTGACAAGTTTGTACCTGCTAGTTGTTCATTTCGTGATGGGATTTGCATTTGATTGTATCATCCTTAATTGACCACCGCCAAATCCGATATTAAACAGTCCCAAAGAGAAAGATAGCATATCAAATGTGATGTAACGAAATGGATTGAATTGACACCTCTAAATTTATTCTAGATTGGCATAATGCTTCTGCCATGGAGTGAATCCCACTTAGTTCTATATTCAAATTTCCAAGCATATTCTTTGGGGTTTCTGTCATAGACTCATACCTCTTTTCCAATTCTCAAATCTGTAAAAATAAGGTGAATTTCAATTATGTAAATCGGATTTAAAACTTTTGGGGTTACAATGTGCTTGAACTGAAATATATATATACTATTAATAAAAAAAATAATTAATAATAAATATATTTGTATTCACATATAAAATTAAATTACAAATATAAAAGAGAGAAAAAAGAATTTAAGCACCATTTGTAATGGGAGTGAGCGGTGATAGTGGTGATGGGTGACAATGGTAGTGGTTGGAGATGGTGATGATTGTGGTGGATGACAACGACCATGGTGGTGGTGGTGACAATCATGGGTAACAACGATGATATTGGTGGTGGATTTTGGATGATGATGGTGATAATAACAACTATGGGTGACGACGATAGTGGTGGTGAGCAATGATGATTGTGGATAGTAGTGGTGGTGGTAGGGCGATGACAGTGGCGATGGTGGGTTGTGGTGGTGGGCGATGAAGGGTGCTTCTAAGTGATAGTGTTATGGGTGGTGGTGAATAACAGTAGTGGTGGTGGTGATAAGTGTGATGGGAGTGAGTGACAGTGGATGGCGGCAGTAGTGGGCGATGATGGGTGGTGGTGGTATGGTGCAGATAGGTGACAGTGGCCATTAGTGATGGTGGACGATGACGGGTGGTGGTGGACAATAATGGTGGTGGTGGGTGTTGACGGTGATAATGGAATAATGATGGTAGTGGCAATAAATATAAGAATAAAATGACGATGATGGTGGGTGGTAGTGGTAGGCAACGGCGTAGCAATCGGTGGTGGGTGGCGATGATGGTGGTAGTGGTGGGGCAATAAGGGTGGGGTGAGGAAGGGGTAGAGGTGGGGTAGAAAGGGTGGTGGTCCAGCATTGACGGTAGTTGTAAGGGTGGTGGAGGCGGTGACGGTGATGGTGGTAGTGGTGATAGTCGTAGGGGTGGTGGTGGTATGAGTGATGGTAGGATAGTGACAACGGTGATGGTGGCGGTGATGGTGGTGGGGTGACAACAGTGGCAACGATGGTGGTGATTGTTATAGAGACAATTGTGGTGGTGTGGCGATGGCGGTGATGGTTGGGGTGGTGGGGGGCAGGTGAAGGTCATGGTGGTGGCGGTGGTGATGGTGGTGGGGCGGTGAGGGTGGTGGTGATAGAGGTGGTGGCGGGGAGGTTCTAAACATTATTTTTTTAAAGTAAATTATAAGAAGTTATAAGTTCTAAAAACACTTTTAAAAAGTTGTTTCAAATACACTCTTAGAGACCTATTTTTTCTATTAAATTTGGGGTGTTAATATTAGTCGTCGAATTAACTTTAAAGTAGAATTTAAAGAGATTTTAACCGTGAAAAACAAATTTTTTTTTGTTTATTTTTGAAATTTGAATTATATTGTACTTTATTATATAAACTAGTTATTGTCCGTGCATGAAGACATGGAATAATAAACAAGATGGTAAACAAGAAACATATTTGTATTCATGTCAAAAATCAAATCACAAATATAGAGGAAAAAGAAAAGAATTTAAGTACCATTTTTAGTGGGGGTGAACGGTGTTAATGGTGGTCGGTGGTAGTGGTAGTGGTGGGTGGCGAGGATCATAGTAATAGTGGTAGTTGTGGATGACAACGGTGATGGTGGTAGTGAATTTTGAGTGACGATGGTAGTAGTGACAATCATGGGTGACGATGATAGTGGTGGTGGATGATAGTGATAGTGGTTGACAGTGGTGGTGGTGAGGTGACAACGATGGTGGTGGGTGACGATAAGTGCTTCTAAATAGTGTGATGGGTGGTGGTGAATGATGGTGAATGTGGTGGTGGTAAGTGTGGTGAGGGTTAAAAAAAAAAGTAGTGTGGTGAGGGTGGGTGACTGTAGTCGGCGTTAATGGTGAGCGATGACAAGTGGTGTGGGTTGTACTAGTGTGTGAGGGTGGGTAAGAATAGTGATGGTGGGTGTTGACAGTGGACGATGGTAGAAATGAGATGATGACTGTAGTGATCATAAATATAACAACAAGATGACGATGATGGTGGGTGGTGGCGGTGGACGACAATGGTAGCAATCGGTGGTGGGTGGCGATGGTAGTGGTATGGTAGTGGCATTGATGGAGGTGGCGGTAGTGATGGTGGTGCCAATGGTGGTGGTAGTAGTGATGTTCGTGGGGGCAGTGGTGGTAGAGTGACGACAGTGTGATGGTGGTGGTGGTGGCGACAATGGTAGTAGTGGTAGTGGCAATGGTAGTGGGGATGGTAGGGGGGTGGTGGGGTGGCGAAAATGGTGGTCACGGCGGCGATAATGATTTTTGTGGCAGAGGTGGTAGTGGGTGGTGGTGGTAGTGGTGATGGTTAGAGTGGTGGTGGTGGGGCGATCAAAGTGGTGGCGGTGGTAGGGTGGTGTTAGTGGTAGTGGTGGTGGTGGGGGTTAGGGTTGGCTGCAGTGGTAATGGTGGCGGTGATAGTGGCGGTGCGGTGGTGGTGAGGGTAGTTATGGTGGTGAGGCGGCGATGGTGGTGGTGGCGATAACGACGATGGTGGTGGTGGTGATGATGAGGATGGGTGTAGTGGTGGTGGAGCAATTTCAAATACTATTTTTTTTTTAAATGAGAAGTTATAAGTTTTCAACAGTCATCTTAAACACATTCTTACAGCCTATTTTCCCTATTAAATATAGGGTATTAATATTAGTCATCGGATTAATTTTGAAATAAAATTTTAAAAAATTTTAACTGCAAAAAATAAAAAATATTTTGTTTATTATTTAAAATTTTAATTATATTTTACTTTATTATATAAATATATATCATCGGCATTAACACGAAGCATGAGTTCTTTGTAAGTGATTTATCACTCCAAACCTTACTGCGTAATGGATGAACTATTTAGTTGTTTAAATGAAAACTAGAGTTGCAGGCGTAAGATAGAATTAGGATGTTTGTGTTCTGCAATTCCTAGAGTAAAGTTAAGCCCAACTTCAAAATGGGCTAATGAGACGAAGCTGCTCAAGGGCTTGCGGTCCAATTTTATACCATTGATTTGCCTCCTCAATGGTTTCCGTTTTGCAGTGTCTCCTGTCATAATCCAATCCCACATCGTGTAGAGTGGTACATAAATATGAATTTTGAACCTTTACTGTAGAGTATGTATCAAAGTTGGGTGGTTCTAACTCAAAGCGAATGACATTGTACAATGTGGGTCTTGGACTTTACAATTGTTATTAGACTACCCTCATTTGTGGAGGCCTCCTAAAACTGTGCATTCCTCGGACAGTGGCTTGGAAAGGTGGCAGCTAGCATAGTGGGAGTAATCCCTGGAATCCTACATCACCTAGCTCGGGGCAGAGCCTAAAGGAGGACGTTTGGGCTTAAGGAGGGTGGATTGTGATACATAAGTGTAAGTTTTGAACTTTCACTGTACAACGAGTTTTAAAGACCTGCAGTCCTAGCCGTGCCTTACAATCCCTGTCTTGTTATTTGCACTCACATTGTCTGAACTAACTGTAGCAGCTTAAAATAGCAGGCGTTTGTGATCATGCACGGTCAGAATGGCCTTCATTTTGGAGGGTGGGTAAGACTGGCTATTTGGATGAGTTAATTTTCGAAACCCATTGGATTGCCAAGCTTGTGTAGAATAAGAATGAGTGTTCCCATTCACCTAGAGGTAATGCCTCGTCAAGTAAAACACAAACCTGCTGTAGAGGAGACCAAGGTCTCCAGCACTTAAAACTAGTGATAGTTCTGTGCTTATGACAGACAACTAAATCCATTTATATCTTTCAAATTCATGTCTTGATCTTGCACTTTTTGTGTCTTAGGAAAATATCCACACTTACGATGAAAGAACATCCATGAGAACAAACCTATTACAGATGAACTCACTTAAGTTTCCAAAAGCATGTTCTGAATCATCTGTAACTTGGAAAACTAGGGAGGTTCTCCCGGAAAGATACTCTTGCTTTACCAACAAAAACTAAGAAAGAAGAGGAATGAAAACCTCTGAAAATATATGTAGTTTGGTAGAAATTAAAGCAATTTGAGGACCTAGAAATCATGGTATTTAGTTGTATGCTTGAAAAATATATGCAAGATTTTTATCCAGTAACAGTGTCTGATGGATAATTGCAACCGAACACCACAAGTCTCTACTAGAGATATACCAAATTATTGTCTCAATTATGGTTGTGATTGTGGAAATCCCAAGTTTACTTTGACACATAGGCAGGCTACTTCCATTTAGATGTAACAAAACCAAGCAATCAAGTGTTTCTTTTTTGTTGGGTAGAAGGCAATTAAACGTGCCTGAAAAATTACTCCAATATTGATAACACACCTCAAAATTGATAGATACTTAGAAAATCACAATCAACCTTCAAACCACTCAGCTCTTCATAGACCAAACTGCAAATAAAAAATAAAAAAAACACAGAAATCAATACCAAAGTTAATAGTTCAGAATCACAACTTCCATTGATATGGATATTCAAGTAGTGAATACAGTACCTGGTTGCGAAAACCAAGATGAGCTATGCAGCAAGAGAAACGGAAATTCAATCCATGAGCCCAATTCATCATCCGAAATCATGAACTCCTCAATATTTCTCCAGTTTCTCTTTTGCACATAGAGAACCATGACAGATCACTATGCTCCTTATCAAAGCTACCTGTTTATCAGTTAAGTCCTCATCAAACAAACCCAACTTTTGAACTTCTACTGTCTTGATCCTTCAGAGTCATCCTTATCTGGATGATGTTGCTGATGAGTTGTAGAACCAGCTCTGTTCTGTCCCATCTGGTTGTAAATCTGGTTTAGTTGCTGAGAATTCAGAACGCCCATGTGACCCTCCTGAGAAAGTCCAAGCTCCAAACCTGGAAGTTGCTGACTAGTTGTTGCACCCAAAATTGTAGACAAACTCATTGAACCCAAACTCGTATTCTGAAATTCAAATCCATGAAACCCGAACTTAGGCATAAAATTCGAGTTTTCGCTCCCTGGATTAGGTGTCAATACACCAGAATTTTGCATAAACCCTGAACCAAAACCAGTTATAGAAGGCCACACCCCAGCTAGTACATGGGATCTACCCAGATTTCCACTCATCATATTCCAATTAGTCCTACTTCCCATACCTGGTCCAAACTCATCCAACTTTGAGTGCAAATCGGACGATACAGAGTTCCCCTTATCAGAAACAGAGGCCCCTGCAGCTGCAAGAGCTGAAGCTGGAATAGTCCCAGTACCTGTGGCGGCAATAATCGATGGCTCAGCCTGCTGTAACAGCCATTGAATTGTCTCTCCATCAGTTTTATGGCCCAATTCTCTAGTCAATTGGAAAATTCTAGCTGCACATAAAGCTGGCATCCTTATTCTTCTACCTCTACCATCCACCTTTTTGTGCCTATCTTTGTTGGAACTTCTCTTGGGGACTAATTGTTTCTTACCATCATCTTTGTTTGCAGCCACAATCTGGAAGTCTTTGATCTCTGCTGGCTTGTTTACCGCCATGTCCGGCTGTGGGAGACGACTCAGGAAGGTGGGCACCTCTTGTGGCTGTTGCTTTGAGCCCTTGGGTTCCATGAGAACAGGGGAAAAAAATGGGGCCTCCTTGATTGATGAAGGGGACATGAAAAGGCCTAGACTTTCAAGTCTTTTCACTGTAATTGTCAAGCTATTAGCTTCTTGTTCAAATTTTGAGTAACAAGCATTTAACTTTTTTTACTGCTGAAGAAAAAGAAACAGTTTAGGAAAAGAGGCTGCCTTGCTATAAGCTTCAAAATGAATTCACACCTTATAAAATGGATTTTGGTTCACAAACTGTTGATTAAAACGATACATTAGCCTTGCACTTATGCTAATACTGTAGCTTATGATTTCATGCAGAAGATTAAGCAATTCTCTAAGATTTGACCTCATCATACGTGTCGGTGTGGATGTTGGGTGGGAACTTTCTTTTGTAACCATAAACAGATGCATGTTCTTTAGGATCCAAATTAAGCAATTAATTACACATGAAACACTCATTTGTGCAGTCTCCAGAATGTTCTAGTGTTGAGGGTAAAAAGTCTTTACATTTTCCTCCATTTTGGTGTTTTCTTTTCTTTTTTGTTTTTTGGTCGGCCTGGCTTGGCTTGGCCAGTGTTTGTAGATATGTCTTTGAATTTTTAAATTTTGAACTAGTCCACTTCACATGTGCTCAATCTTGGTGGTGTTCAGTGCAGTTGATGATTGCTGTTACCTCTTTGAATTTTCAATCTATTCCTGGCCAACCTTATGGACCATGAGGAGTGTCTCCATGTTCTTTATAATTAGGGAGGCAATCAAGGAACATGGACATTCCCATCTGGATAACCAAAGGTGGTTGAATATATTTATAGAGTAGGTAGAAAATATAATTGAATGAGAGAGAGAGAGAGAGAGAGAGAGAGAGGATTCACCAAAAAAACCAACAAAGAAAAAGATAGACCATAGAGTATTCTCTTCCATACATTGTGAAGGGAACTAGGTGTAGAATAAATATACATGAACCTCACTAGCATGTTAATCATCATGGAGGAGCCCATCTACAACAATTTTGCTCTTTGAACTTCACAATCCAGTTTAGTCCCTGTTAACGATAGTTTGGTGGTAAAGACGTTTCAAACGATTCGATATTTTACACTATTTTATCACCTCTATGATTGATCATTAGGTACAACTTTTTTATCTCTGCTATTGTGAAGGAAAGTTGGTTGAAGCATGCTCAATCGTTTTAGCTTTCTTTCCCAGAAAGACTCAGGCTTACTTATTTCACATTGAAGCATGCTCAATCATTTTCATTCCTGCTTGTATGGAAACTCAAGGTGTCATGGAAAAATTGGATGGGTTGTGTAAATATTACCTTTTTGTACAGTAGATAGATAGTGGAGTCTTTTAAAAGGGAAAATAGATGGCACTCGTTCTTTATTATCTCTTGATTATTTTTAATTTTTATTTTTTTGATGAGAAGAGCAAAGAAGCAATTCAGTTGTGTATGGATAATAATTGGTAGGTGGGTATGATGGTGCTTTAATAACTTGTAATATATGTTGCCCATCTTGGAGACACATGGGGACCTTTTAAAAGCTAAAATTGTTGACGTTTCATCCAATATCACTTGAATTCAAAGTTTGTATCAAAAAGTCGTCACTTTAGTTGGTAACCAAGACAAATTTTCTAAAAGCAGTAAGGCTCAATCAAACGTTTTGTCTGTTCATTCGCTAAATTCTTCTGTCAAAAGAACTGTTCTTCCATTACAATTTGAAACGGAGAGTAGTAGTCTCCATGTAAGTAAATTTCAATTAATCGACAAAATTTTGGTGATTTCTTCAACGCATGCATGACCAAATGATACCAATGAGGTTCACGAAGCTAATAGTAATTGGTTAGTATCAATTGAATAATGTTATTGTGACCTAATTTATTGACTTAATTTACTATAACCTTTGGATTCACTGTGGAATCCATCAAACATTGAAACTTGCTATTGATTAAATGGTTTTAATGTAGTCGTCAGCAAATTATATCAGATTTTTAAGTCCAAATAGCATTAATTATATTAATTATAATTCATGAGCAATATGTTCTAAGAGGATCTCTAACCACGACTCAAATTTTTACTTAAATTTAAATTAACATTTGAGTAAAAGGTTTGATTTGATACAAAAAACTCCGATAAACAAACTTAAATTTAAAGAATGAAAAACTCAAATTTAAATGAGGGTAAACTTAAATTTAAAACATATTAAATATGAAAATTGAATATTTAAAAGAGAGTAAAATCTCACAATTAAAGATTTGACTAAATATTTGAATCTCCTTTAATTGGAGTAAAAAAATGAGTTTTCATTCATTTGGTATAAATTTGAGTCAAATGTTGAAGCAAGTTTTTTGTATTTTTTTACTCAAATTTAAATTTAAATTAGAGTTAGAGATGCTTTAAGTGGTTGTATGAATTCTGAGTAATATCCAAAGCCTATTAGATTTTAAGTTGATATCCACCTAACCCTTAAACTTATCTATAAGCTACTCTATTGGTCCACCACTTCTAGAAAAAAATATTGCAACCAGACATGTGCATAAAGTTCTAAGTAGTGGTGACAAATGGGCGGGTTCAATTAGTTATGGGTTGGTTTAAATTTTGGTTGGGTGCTGACGATACCTTGAAAAAATTTCAAGTTTGAGCTCGGCAGCCGAGGTCATGAATGGAGCTCAGCCAGGAGACCCTAAGCTTGGCAATCCACGTCTGGGATCTCCTCAACTTGTACCCCAAAGAAGATGCATGAAAGATAGTCGGAAACCACAACACGCCTCCTATACGGCAGGAAGCGTCAGTCTAGGCAAAAGATCCTTAACCGCCACAACCATTGCCTAGAATCAAGCAAGACGTTACAAGGGAAAGGCGCAGATCACGCTGCAGTCCCCTCTGAATCATGAACTAGGTTATAAATACTGTAAAAAGTTCTCACTAGCGAGGGGGGAAATCCCTTCGGAACGAAGAAGATTTTGTAATCTACTATCCATCTTGAATAAAAGCATATGGAGTAAGAGACTCCTTTAAAAAGTGGACTAGCCGAACTCCCGAGCTGTCGAACCACTATAATTTTTCAACGTAATCTCTCCTTTCTCACTCAAAAAGTTGTTCGATTAGAATCACCAGAGCCTTGTAGCTCAGTTCTAACCCCCATTCATACATAATCTATTCTATCGTGTTCAGAATACCATCAGGTGCAAAAAAACATCCGATCCAATTTCAACCCGCTTAATAAATAGGTTATAAAGGGTTGGATCATAATGGATTAGGTTAAATCTATTAACCCCATAAAATAATTAAAACTTTAAATATAAACATATACTAATATATAAAATAAAACACAAAAAATACACATTCTAATACACTAAAACACATATACACGTACTAATACACAAAAACACACACTAATACACTAAAACGACACATACATTAATACACCAAAATATACACAAATACATCAAGACACACACAAATACCAAACACACACTAACACACGGAAACTCACACACACACACACACATACACACACACACACACACATGGTTGAGTCTAGAGTCGGGTTGGGTCCGGGTTCGGAGTCAGAGTCCAGTTTCAGGGTCTAGGCCTGGGGTTAGGTTCGTGGTCCAATGTCTGTGTGTTTATGTATTGGTTTATATGTGTATTGTTGGCGTATTAGTATTAGTATGTGTGTATATATGTATTTTGGTGTAATAGCGTGTGTGCATGTTTTGGTGTATTAGTGGATGTGTGTGTTTATTTTTTGGTGTATTAATGTGTGCGTGTTTGATATATTAGTGTGTGTATTTGATTTGATTTATTTTTGTTATTTAATAGAAAGATAGATACTCAACCCAATAGGTATAAATTTATAATTCATATTAACTCGTATTAGTTAATATAAATACCTAATCCATCTATTTATAGAGAGATTGGGCTAAGATTGTCACACCTAGTCCTAAGGTTAGTACTTTCAAGAACTAGCTCAATGCTCTCTCTCTCTCTTCGAGACATGGGCCAAGTTGGGAGAGAGGAGGTCAAAATGATAAGAAGTGTTTGGAACTTAAACCCGCCTCTAATTAAAACTTGTAGACCAAGAGCCTATTCAAAGTATACCAGGTGTGGGTTGTAGTTGTAAGGGGATGGTGATGTAGAACGAGATTTATAATTTTTTATTTTTATTTCTTAAATTTAGAATTTAATTTGGAATCTTTTGAAGTAATTTGTTGCCTAAACCTTGTCACTTTTTCTTATTCATTTGACATGGGTTTATTTATTTTTTTAGTAACTTTCCTAAGATTAGGGATCTAGGTCCGTTTTGGAAACCTTTAAGAGTTTGAGAATTCTTATGAATTATCAACTCAACACGATGACACGACTCGAACTCGACACAAATTTCATGACACGAATTTGATAATAACTCGACACGAACTTGAAAATGACCTGACACGCGAATAAGAGATATAAAATACTCATAATTTTATAACTTAACACGAATCTGACACGACAAGACTCGATTATCACCTCTAATATTAGCCAGTACAAAAAAAATTAAAAAAAAATTAGTCATTTTTATTTTCCATCAATCCAAACAAACACAAAGGAAGAAAAATATATCATTCCTACTTTCCACCCTTCTTACTTTCCATTATTCCTATCAAACGGAGCATTAGAGTGTACTTGTTCTATACACTCAGGAGCAACGATCTTTTCATGTCCTTTCGTTACCATTGTGTCAATTGGTCATAGAGCCTTGACTGACCTCACATGATATCTAAGCAGCAAAGTGATGGCAATTTTCCTCCTAATAGTGATTATGTGGATATAACTCTTTCAAGAGCCAACTTCTTTAGTTCTCAATATTCGTTCCAACAACCCTATCACTAGTCCCACGACCCGGTTGCTTGGTCAATATTTAGAACAAACCAGGATTTAGATTGGAATAGGGTTTGCAAAAACGATAGAGCTCATGTTCGACCTATTCGAGATCTCAATCCTACCCTCATCAGACGACAACATATTTTGTGATTCAAATTCTGGTGATGATGATGAATAGTATGTTGCAGATATGTTTTCTGGTTATGATTGCACTAGAGGATGAGTTTAGGAATTTTTTTATGAAAGTTAACCACCCTAATTTCGATGGTTATGTTCACCAAGAAGATTTTTTTAGATTGATTGACCAAAGGTGAGTGATTCTTCAAATATCATGAAATTTCCAAGGAGAGAACAGTGGGTTTAGTGGCATACAAACTAAAAGTTTGAGTTGTTAATTGGTGAGAACGTGTGAAATTAGTTGTTAATTGGTGAGAACGTGTGAAATTATCACATGCGAGCCAACAAAAATTTAAAATTTGTTCTTGGTAAAAGATAAAGCGGTTATTAAAAGAGAGATATACACCTTCATCTTATAATGTATATGAAGACCACATATGCGAGGACTATGGTGAATATTGGCTGGTGAGGTGAAAGGAACAATCAAATTGAGATAATATTAGGTTGCAATCTTTTTCACATTATAATGATTATTTTGTGACTCAAGTTTCATATCAAAATCCAGTTAGTGTAGAGTTTTGAAATACTTTGTTGGATCAAAAAAATTAAACTAAAAAATAATGAACGAAGTGAGAAGACCAAATGTACTTATGATGATGTTGGGTAGCCTCCAGAAGGTTGTCAGCATGAGAAACTTGAATAAAGTTACACAAATGATATTATGAACTTTGAAGAGAAGGAAAACAACAAAGTTTTGGGTGATATTCATGAACCACATATTTGCTTAGTTTATAGCGATGTTCAATCTTGTTACGCTCTCTAGGTTTTAGAAAGTATTGGGACTTTTCCTCTAGTTGACAAACAACTAGATGTGTGTGAGCATCACATGGATGCAAAGACTACAAAACCAAAAGACAAGAAACTTGAAATTGTTGGTTCTGGTGATACAAATAAGAATGACAATTTTTTCTTTGTTAACATAGTTCCCAAGGATAGTAAACTTGAAATACTTGATGAATTTCATGGAATTGAATAGAATGAGAATTTACCACATAAAGAATCTTTTTTTTTTTTGAACTGAAACTATTCGCATTCATTAGGAAATAATAGATTGATTACAATCAGCTTGAAGGAGCACACAAAAGTCTCTTGGTGGACTACTGACCCAGCCAATAGGTAATGATTGCTTCAAAAATTCTGATGCTATCCAATATGCTGGCTTGTTGAGCGTCCTAGGTATTTGGACAAAATTCAAGGCATGATCTATTGCATCTTGTTTGATGTCTCCTATGATAACTACAATTTCCCATGGAGCACGTCCTCGTTGGAGCTTGACCTTAGCATTATCATTCTCTATGGTAGTAGTAACTAGCTCAATGGAGATGCTCACGAGACAAGCTTCCTTAACTGCCACCGCCTCCGAGAGAAAACTAGAAACTGGAGGAACAGTGATCACCTTCCCTCCGACAAGCTCCCTTTTGTGATTTCTCACTATGATGCCAGCTGTGGCTTTTTGACTTTTTCCTTTGTAGGCACCATCACATGAGATCTTGAGCTTTCATTGTTCAGGAGGTCTCTAGTTCTGCATTTGGTGATGTTCTCCATTTGCTTGTGAGAATGTATTAGTGGTTCGCTATTGGACAGAGCAGAATACACATGTGAGATCTCCAAATATTCGGGAATTTCTCTATTCAATCATTTTCCTTATTCTTGTTGTTGGATATATTGTTCGTACACATTTTTTCTTTATTTCCCAGACTTCTAGTGAGTTACAGACATAGTTCGAAAATGTTAAATCTTTGATAATTTCATCATTTATGATTGACTTGCGAAAACTGTTAGGTAGATATCCTACATCTAAACTGAATTCTTTCTAGTTAAAGAATCTATTTCTCGTTGCTCTGGAACAATTTAGGAGATTCTTTAGAAGAAATACGGAGTTTTACTTCTGGCGGCGACATGTTATTGAATGGTGATACCGCTTATGGAGTCAAATCAATACGTTCTAAGAAGAAATATTTGGATATCAATCTCATTGATCCCATAAGTATCATACCAAATCCCATCAATTGAATCACTTTTTTGAGAAATACAAGACATCTAAGTCATACAAATAAAGAGATCTATTCATTGATAAAAAAAAAAAAAAGGAAAAAGGGGAATGGGGGATTGGATTGATGATAAAATCGAATCCTGGGTCGAGAACAATAATTCGATTGATGATGAAATAGAGAATTATTGGGATTGATGATGAAATAGAGAATTATTGGTTCAGTTCTCCACCTTAATGACAGAAAAAATGATTTATTAAATTCTATTGAGTCTGATTCATAGTGATTATTTATCAAAGAATGACTTTGGTTATCAAATGATTGAACTACCTAGAGTAATTTACTTACGATACTTAGTTGACATTTATAAAAAACATCTAATGAATTATGAGTTCAATACATCATGTTTAGCAGAACACGGATATTCCTTGCTCATTATCAAACAATCATTTATTCACAAACCTCGTGTGGGGCTAATAATTTTCATTTCCCATCTCATGGAAAACCCATGTCGCTCTGCTTAGCCTATCCGAAGTTAACCGGGCTTGGATGACTACAGTTGTTGGATTTGGGTCCTTTCTGTTGAAGACTGCCTCATTCCTTGTTTTCCAGATTATCTATCCCACCGTCGCAGAATCTGCTGTGGCCTGTGGGCCAGAGTTGGTTTCCAGCATAGAGGAGGTCCGTTGCTTAATCGATGAAAGACCCTTTGGGTTTACCCTATAGCTGATGGTCCATTCCAAACCACACTCTTCTGACCCATGCACAAGTGAAAAACATATGATCTACTTTCTTTTGTTCTTCATTGCAAATCGAACATGTTGGGTAATCTACAGATTTCCTTCGAAATAAATTTTTCTTAGTTGCCAGAAAATTTGAGCAGCCCTTCCACTAAAAATGTCTAACCTTTGTGTAGTCTTTAAATTCCATATCATTTTCTACAGCTTGGGGTGAGGGGAGAATGAGGTACCTTTTTCTCTTCGTAATCCATTACTTTTCGCCTTGTGAGCCACTGTATGTACTCCTCTTTTATTTAAGCTCCATATAAGCCTATCCTCCCCCTCAAGTTTGTTACTGGTGTGGAGACTATAACTCTCTATTCGTCAATTGACAGTAGCTACCTGAGTACATCACCTCACTCACCATTGTTATAGTGCATCTTGTGGGTGTCCTTGGACCAATAATATTGTTATCTAATGATGGTATCCGTTTATCCTCCCAGAACTTAATCTTATCACCCTTTCCCACCTTCCATCTCATACCCTGTTTCAAAGGTCCCTTCCTTTGAGCAAGTTATACCATGTCCATGAGAGTATTGGTCCTCTACTTGTCTCCATAAAATCTCCCTTTGGAAAATAAATTGACTTCAAGATCCTTCCCTAAAGTGAGTTTGGATTTTTCAATAGGCGCCAAACTTGTTTCACCAAGAGGGCTTGATTAAAACTTTGGAAATCTCTAAAACTCACACCACCCATTACTTTTGGTTTGGTCATGTGTCCCACTTATTCCAGTTGATTCTCCTCCTCTCCTCAGTCCTACCCCACCAAAATTGTCTAATATAGAAGTCCAATTTGTTGCTGAATTGTTGTGAAAACACTACACATGACATAGTATAGCTTAGGATCGCCTAGAACACAGATTTGATTAATACCTTCTTGCCCACTGGTGATAGAAAATTGTTTTTCTAGCTCTGTACCTTCTTCATTACTCGCTCCAATAAATAGTTGAAAGTACTCATTTTGGATCTGTCCCATTCAATGGGGAAGCCCAGGCACTTTGTGTTGCCTGGCAAAATTATAAACTATAGTCGACAACAAATCTCTTCTCTTTGTTCAGATGTGGTGTTACTTGAAAACATTACTCCAAATTTTTGAATGTTAATTAATTGTTCAGATGTCTGTTGTAAGCCTCCAACGTGTTCCACAAACAATAACCTTCCTGCAAGTTAACTTTAAGAAAAAACAGAGAATTATTGCAAAGAATAAGTGGAAGAGTGTTGGGCTTCTCTTTTGCATTGCATTCTTGATATGTTTCCGAGCATGAATTCCCTACTTATATTTCTCGATAGGACATTTGCCACCAAGAGGAAGAGTTAAGCGGAGAGTGGATCCTCTTGCCTAGGTCCTCTCTGATGACAATACATCGTGGTACACCATTGACAACCACCTCAAATTGGACTAGTCTTTATACATTGGCTAATCATGTGGATCCATTTAGGATGGAAACCCATTTTTTCCAAAACTTTCTCAAGTAAATCCCACTCCACTCTATCGTATACTTTGTTTTTAGTCTATTTTGTTTTAAGTTTATTTTGATGGTCGTTTCTGTTGGAATAAAAATCGTAAGAACCGTTGACAGCGCGTATGTATCGAATATCAAAATTTTTTTTTTAAACCCTACAATGTGGAATTAGGGTTTACCTTTGAAATCTCTCAGGATTGATCTCGTCTCAGCACAATTGCAGAATAGAACAACGACTATAGCTCGACGAATCTCGCGGCCTTCTATTGTATAACCCCCAACGTCAGAATGTAGATGCAGTGTAGACTGTCAAGACCTCTGAATCCTTGCTCTCTCTTTCAGCCTCTCTAAAAAATTTAAGTAAAAAATAGATGCTGAAATAGAGAATCTAGACGTCTATATATAGGCTACAATAGAGACCCTAAGGAAAAATAAAGAACGGGCTCCCAAATGGGCTTAGAATTCCTATGTTTAACCCAAAACAAACATCCTACAGTCCATTAATAATAAGTCAATCTACTAAAGACTATTATTGATCTCTTGGGCTTTATTTCAAAATTATATTCAAGCTCTTTTATTATTATATGCTTAATAATCTCCCCACGTTTAAGATTACAGATGTCCATTAATTAAATAAATAACTGATAATTATGTTTAATTGACTTCTTTTATTCCTTGAAACCTTACCACTCAATTAATTTGTTATGTTGGATAATTAAATTCAGTTGCAGGATTTGAAATGGACAAAACTTATGAGCTTCCTCAAGAAGACATCATCAACCCATTTAAATACTAGGATGTGATTTCCTTTAATATTTAATTTTCACCATACAAATAACATTGTCTCCTAATTCATCGAGCTTATTGACCTAATCTGAATCTCACTATTTGATGAATTAAAGTGACAAACATTATATGCACGTGACAATTAAATATTTAGAGATTAAGAACATAAGTAATCATAATAATCATGAAATATTTATTATCTTATTAAATTAGTAAAAGATAATAACCTCAATACGAGTCTGTTCAATACACAAAGTGTACTAGTGTAATAATCTGAAACATCAAACAATCTCTTATAGTTAAGATAGACTATGCCAAAATATTACACTACAATCATATTGATGACGTGTTCAATTCCATCTACGATTGTGAACTTATACTCATATTATATAAGGATCCGATAATCTTGTCTTCTGTGCATAAGCTGAACTCTGCACACCAGATTATCTACAATTGGCCTCGTTGGGTTCCTCCATCTGAATATTTTTCTAGTTTGATTGTAGGATTTCCAAGTTTTTCTTGTTTTTACCAAATTGGCTCCTACTCCACTCTGAATGCCTCTACATTTTCTCAACTTCTTGTTTATTCTGAACAAGTCTGACCTTTCGACACTCACCTCTTAGCACCATTTAATAACATCATCACATTGGTTGTGCTCCATCCACATGTTTTCAAACTTGAACTCGTATGGGACCTTCTTGATGCTAACCTAAAATCGATTAGGATAGGACAATGATCCGAGCCCATTCTTGGTTCGTGGAGGAATTGTGTATGCAGGAAACAATTGCACCACTCCGAATTGATTAGGACCTTATCTAGGCGTTCCTACACTTTAGCAATTCCTAGTTTGTTGTTTGACCAAGTGAACTTGGTACCCTTGAAATCAAGCTCAATTATTTGGTAGTCAGATATGAGCTTTTGCATTTCTTCAACCTTCTTGGCTCCATTCCCCTTTCCTCCCTCCTTTTCCCAAACCTAGCCGGTGAGATTAAAATCCATTGTAATAATCCAAGACAAACCACTTGAATCTGCTAATGCTCTCAGTGATCTCCATATTCTTTGTATTTTGGCATAATCGGGATTTGTATAAAAGAAAGTGGTTTGCCATACCAGAGGGCTTCTATTTACTGAGCCCTTTGTCTTGGTGATATTTCTATTTGCAAATGCTATCTCCAACTTGATATCCTCTGTCCACTACAAGGTGAGGCCTCCTGAGAGTCCCACTAGCTCTACATAAAACACATTCAGGGTGTGTTTGTTTTGAAAGATAAATGGGGATAACACTTGTTGGATTGGGTAAAATTAGCCGGGGCCCACAAAACCCGACTTTGGATCCTCCACATGGGATGAGATATTTGTTGGGCTCAAAAAATCGGCCCGTATGTTTTTAGGGCAGTTATCCCCTCTGAACCGGATCCACATATCCCACCTGGACTTTGGGATATCAAAGTCTACCGATGGGATTGACTTAGAAATTACGTAACTATCCATGTAACAATAAAAAAACTAGGGTTTTTACCTCATTTCTTTTCATTTCACCTAACTTGTCCCCTTCACTTTGACAACCACGCCCACTGGTCTCCCTTGAGCCGAACGTATTCCTCTCTCTCTATCTCTTTCTCTCTCTCTATGTTCCGCGGTTTTATTTTAGGCATTATTTACAAACCTTCCTAGCGCCTCCATTTTTGGTGTGAAGCAAGA